GGCCGGGGGCCAAGATGGAGACACCGGCCCCCTTGCTGCGGCGGGACATCGTCTTTGTGGCCAGCCTCTACACCCAGTGAATGACCCTCTGTAAAAATGTAACAGTAAACAGCAAACCACCTGTGTCCTTGAGGTGTCAGGCAGGGATGGAACCACTGAGAAGCAGGCCTTTATTATCTGCAGACAGGACCAGCCCCTCGGAAGCATCAGTCCTTGGGAGAGGGTGTCTTGGGGGGTGACGGCGGGTCCTGGGTCATGGCTTCCACGTACCACGTGGGCAGGAAGGCATGGGGAGCACCCTGATGTACAGACACGGTGACGGGGCCGCCGGGCTCCCAGGAGAAGAGGTGGACGAGCCTGGGGGGCAGACGAGGCACAGGCTGAGCGCCAGAGTGGAGCCACTGGGACCCAGAGGGGAGGGAGGGAGCTGACCTCACCTGGGGTCATCCTGGGTGACTGTGCTCTGGGCAAAGCTCAGGAAGGCGGCACAGAAGTTCATGCACACAGAGGGGTTCCAGCCCTCCCGGTCATTCTGGAGTGGGCAGAGGACGAGGTGGAAGACTGGCAGTGAGGGCATGGCTGGGTGCGGGGTGGGGGGTGCAGGCGGGAGCTGAGACACCACTGCCTTACCCGGACATATTCAAACATCTCCATGGTCGGAAAGGTCTTGAGGGAACAGACAAAACCTTCTGGGTTACGGAAGCCCGCGACAACCTTCGGGACGCCTGGGAGGAATGACTGAGCCCACCACTTCAGCAGCTTGTGTCTGCGAGGAAAAGCAGTGGGGCCCTCTTCCTCCATTCTGCCCGCCCTCAGGCCTCCACCTCCTCCCGAAGTCCCTTCCCCCGCAGCGAGTTCTAGGCTCTTGTCCTGCCCTCCCACCCCATCCTGAACCTGTAAAAGCTCTTCCATTGGCTGGAGCTGTGCATCTCTTTGGAAGTCTTGAGCTCCACGTAGCAGGTAGGGGGCTGTGAGGTTGGGGCCTGGGGGTCTATGCAGTCTACCTCCCCCGAGAAGAGCAGAGGGTGGTTTCCCAGGCGACCGCGAAGCACGGAGCAGAAGGCCACGTTGGTGTTAACCTCCCCAGAGGGGTCTGGGGAGCCTCCGGGTTTGTCTGCACGAGGAGAGGCGGCACGGGTGGGGGTGTGGCCCTCACTCTGGGGCTCATGTCTGGGGCCACAGGACAAGGACGACTCACCTGCACACATGTACTGCTCAAACTTGTATCCCATGTACATAAACTCCCGGAGGAGGGGGGGTCGAGCCAGCCTCTGAGCCCGAGCGGCTGGTGTCTCCACCTCACTCAGGTACAGAGTTCCCTGGAACCGGGAGGCTGCCAGCTGCCAGCCCTCTTGTCGCTCATATGGTGTCGTCAGCAATTTTGTCAGGTGTCCCCGCCATGTCACTGTGGCCCCTGCCAACCAGCCTGGACCCCTGAGAGAGGAGTTAGAAGCTGAAGATCTAACACAGCATTATTCAGATGTTTCCCTCCCACCCCCCAAAGAATAGCCCAAGTTCCTCCTTTTTTCTTAAAGAGAGATTTTTGCTATAGGGCACATGTGCTCACCAGAAACAGAGACAGAAAGCATGAAATTACCCCCCGGGGGGATGGCCACACCACAGTCCCTTTTCCTCCACTCTCTTCTTGGGATCTTGGGCATGGACGCACACGTGTCCGGTGTGCATTTGAAGCCACTGGGTCTGGTACTCAAACCGGGTAGGCTCCGTGGGAGTCCAGTGACATAGCCATTATACATCTGCTGGTCCCTCAAGTTCTTTCTAAGCATGATTTGCTCTCCAACTCTGGCACTCCTAATTTTAGAGGCACCGGTCTCCAGAGCTACCGGTGTTCCACACTTGGCTCACCCCTCCAGCTGGCCTCGGTGTTCCAGGAGCCAGCGCAGCAGGTGGTCCAGCCCCTCGCGGACCTCCTCATCTCGGGGCTGGTATCGATCGGTGTATCCGTCTCTGAGGTCAAAGTTGGGGCCTGGACCGTGCGTGGGGGGTGGGCTGTAGTAGCGCAGCGCTCGAGCATCCCCATGGTACCGGCGTTGTGCATCCAGCGAGAAGCAGCCCAGTTCGGAAGGGCGCCGGTAGAAAGGAAAGGGCCCAGAGTACAGGGCAGGCTCTGTGGGCAGTGAGGGTGCGAGGTGGGGGAGTTTGTTTCGAGGCTCCGCTACCTCTGTCTTCTCAGCTCCTCTCTTGGTCTCTCTGGACTGCATGAGGTCCTGAGAGGGGGAAAGGTTTCCATTTTACAGAGCACCTGGAGAAGGATGACTCTGGATCAGGGCCTTCAAACACGCCAGTGCGGCCAAGCACCCACTCTGCCACCCCGCCGTTACCTTAAGTCCCCAGCCCCGCCGAGCACCCCAATGGCAGAGGAGGAGGCCGATGACTGGCAGCGAGGTTGGGGTGGGAGAAGGGAGGTCGACTGCAGCCCTGGATCCGGACCTGGACCTGGACCTGCGGCTGGACGTGGGGTGGGGGTGCAGGCGGGAGCTGCAAACACAGAGGTTGGGAGGGAAGGCTGGGCGCGGATCTCGTTACCCTACAACCTCGGCCTCCACCTCCGACGGCTAGGATGTCAAGGCCCGGACTTCAGACGCCGAAGTGGAATGCAAAGGGCTTTGCTGCTGCCGATGACGCAATCATTCAGCGACAGAG